ATGTTTTACAAGCTGAAATAACACAGGACTCGCTCATTTAGGATGATTTCTCTCATAATAAATGTACTAAGATGAGTGGAAATGATATAGTGAATTATAGTTAAGAATAATCACCTTATGCAATTTCACTTTTTTTTTTGGAAAACAGACAGAAGCTAAGGGCAATGTAAAATGAGAAAAGTCTGTATACCGTTGCCGAGACCAGTAAGCCTAATGCAACACAATAGTAATAATGGTATAGTGCTTCAGAACGATAGAAAATTACGACCGTCATCAACGCATGACAACCAAACAAACCAATTAAACAGGGAAAAGGTTATAAAAGCTGAACACCATGAAGAGCAAAGCTGCTACATCATTAACACGTTTGGTTTATTTGTGCCTCAGTGTGAGTGCCTCCAAAGTATAGCTTCTATTGTAATTACATACATGCTTTTCTTCACAGGCTACTGCTAAACGCGCAATCTTGGGGGTTAGCAATTTACTTTAAAAAAAGTGCATAAGGATATATTTTTCGAGCGAAGAGGCAGAGCCCAAGACAATATAGGATGGCTATAGGAGTAAAATAATGATGGGGGAAAACTGTGATAACAAAGATAAAATGTTGTCCTTTTTTAAATGATTCTATCCCTGCCCTTCACTTTCACCGTTTTCGTCCAATGCATTTTTCATGATGATCTCATGTCCAGTAGATTCTCGGAGGAGAAAGGGGGAGAGATTATTTTACATGAGCGGCTTTGGGGTTGTGTGTGAATGTGGTGAGTGGACAGGTCAGCTGGGACATCATACCACAGACATGAGGACAGACCCAGAGTTTGACACTGGAAAAATTACCACTGAAGACTTGAGAAAGAGGGAAAGAGTTGAGAGAAAAGAGAAAGACGTGAGATAGGTTAGTTTTACCCTACTGATGATAGGTGTGGTTGTAATATAAATCCTGCAACAAGACAGAGCTAAACAAATTAAAATATTGGATGTACAAAAATACAATTAAAATACCAGTTGAAAAATAGCTAGAGATTAAATCAAGAATCCTGTATCAAGATCCATCCATCCATTTTCTTCCCCTAATCCATTTCTGGGTCAGGGGGTGGCAGTCAGACCTGCACCCAGTACACATAGCACCAGCCCCAACCTGTATCAAGATATTTTTCCAAAAAGATGAGTACATATTCCCAAGAAGGGCAAGGGATCGCTATCCTTAAATTGCACCTTCGAACTCTCCGCTGCTTAGAAAAGGGACTAATGAAATCACGTAATGGGCTGGAACACAAAAGATCATTTGAAATGTCTTGAGGATATTGGATGTACGCTGTATGAGGAAAAAGAGAATGAGGTGAAAACACAGATGTCAGACAAAGAGTGGATCATCTCTCAAACAAGCAGAGTTGCTATCAGCACTGCTATAAAAAGCAGGTGAATGTGTTGATCAGCACTGTAGTTGTTATGATTACAATAATGGTGAAATTTTCAGGTACACATTTTGAGGGAATTAACAGGAATACTTGGACATAAATACAGAGTTAGCATGTCAACCAGGACAGTTGAAAAATAAGTTCCATATACAGAAGGTATATATTAATAATATTAATATATACAGATTGGGCGACAGTAGCTCAGTTGGTAGAGCATTGGCCTTTGAACCTGAAGGTTGTGGGTTCGAGCCCACCACAAGACCTACTTTACGACTCCCACTGATGACTCCTGTTGTTGTGTCCTTGGGCAAGACACTTAACCCCACTTTGCCTGAAGCTCTCACTGAAAGATCTCAGCTCCTGTGGACTCACCACCTGCAGCAGGATCAGTGAGGGGCTGGTGCTATGTGTACTGGGTGCAGCTCTGACTGCCACCCCCCCGACCCAGAAATGGATTAAGGGGAAGAAAATGGATGGATGGATGTTTCACAGCCAAGCCCACAATATAATAAACAATTAGGTTGATTTTAGTGTTTAATTGACTTGAGGGAGGGACCTGTGGGTATAAAAGACTCCATATAACCTCGCTCTCCTTCTGTGTGTCCGGGCTTGGTATATCGAGTCCTGTAAATTACTGAATATATATTTTTTTCATTACTGGCAAGCACTCCTTCAAACTCTCTGGAAATATCAATATGATATGATAATGAATAACAAAAACGATACTTATTTTTGACCCTTTGCAAATGTAGTGACTGGTGTTGAATGATAAAAAAAAAAAAACCGAAAAAACCTAGGAATGAAGAAATGAGCATGAGGAAAGACACAAAACAGTCTGTGTACCGCTGGCTACATTGAGCACCGTATAAAGGCGTGGAAAGAAACAGGTTAGAGGCTAATTGGGCTGGGAGTAGCTCAGGGCAAAATTGAAAGGCTGAGGTCATAGAAGTTGAGATTTAGTGAGAGACGACATAGGAAGATTTGAGTGGTTTAAGAAATATGGGACCTAAACAAAACAAATTTAACCAAACAGAAATTATGAAACGGATTGAGTGCAGCTGCTTATTTTTATGAATACAAAAATACTGCTTCGTCTTATCTCGAATATTTCTATAGACCATTATTTGCTGAGGCAGATATATTGGCAGGTAATTCATCATTGAGCTCAAACATGTTTTTCTAATTTTACAAATCATATTTGTCCAAGGAGCGCATATTTCATATCCTACAAATACAAGATTGAAGGAGTTGCAGATGACAAAACCATCCTGGAATTACATTCTTATCCTGTGATGACATTTGGACAAAGATGGACTTTCTCAACAAAACTGTCCATAAAAACTAATAATTTAGACTAAGCATGGTATGGAGGAAAACCTTTGGATGGAACTTACATAAATTACTGTACACTACATTGGAAACCACAGAAGGTACCAAACAGAAGTCACACTTACACAATCAACATCCTCAACACATTCTAAGTGCATCTGTACATTCACATTGATGGAATGTACATGACACTCAAGAGCTAGTTAATTTCCAATGTGTCAGTAATAGATTCTTACTGACCACAATTTTCTGCAGGTAACGCAATTAGTTGTGGGATGGCCTCAAAAGTTTATGTGTGAGGATGGGCTCTGTATATTTTGTGTGATACTTGTTTTTCAGATATGCTTTTTGAGTCGCTAAACAACCATGACTATCTGCATCAAAACTGAGACATCCAGACTACTTTAGCCATGGTAATTTGGATCTGGATTAGGTGTTTTGTTAAGAGCATCCATCAGAAAACTTTGTTTTCTGAAAGGAAATATTATGCCTACGGTTTATATGGCTCCTATCCACCCCAACAGCAGGGGCAGATGGCTGTCCAATCTCCAAGGTCTGACTGTAGAAGTTGAAACATGCTGTGCAGTCCTATTGTGACTTTCCACAACTAAAAAATAACACGACTTTTGGCACAACGTTAAGATGAGCATGTGTGTTAATGCTGAATGGAGTAATGTTTTTGATCAATTTGGGATTTTTGTGTGTGCATACATCTGCCATAATGTGCCACATAATAACAGTAGTTTCATCCCATGTCATGTGCCTTGCATGCATAGGGGGAGCAGAGTTGGACGGACCACTCGCGAGACATTTGTGATGGTAGAACATTCGTTTGAATGGGCCAAATTCTGGCCAAAGGTTTACTGTCTTTGTACAAAGCCCTTTAGATTGCAATATTTATCAATCTAACCAACACTGGTGGTGCTACTGCAACAAACTGCCCTGCCTGTACCTGACACAACGTGACCTGTTGTGATTGTAAAATCTACTCTTGTTGAAATGTTTTTGCATCTTTTAAATTGTTATGAAATGCAAGGAATTCTAGTTTAATTTATTAAGTAAGTAAGTAATCTTTATTTATATACCGCCTTTCACAGACCAGAGTCACAAAGCGGTTTACAATTGTTATTTTTGGGCATTTGTCCTGGAAAGTTCAGTTTGTAAGAATTTCATATTCAAACTTCTTACAAATCTCTTCCATTATTTGCCAGCACCCTGCGGCCCAGTGCTTTCCTGTGCATTGATCCACCTTACATTTGTGGTTGTTTAATTTGAGGTAAGAGCAAAGATTAACCATGGTGGATGATTAATACAACTTGACTTATTGACTTACTGCGAGCAATTATGGCCATGTCTTTTCTCAAGCCTAGTTTTCTCACACTCGCGGTACAACATTTGGGGGTCTTGAAACATGTGCATACCAAACACACACGCAGATGCCATGGATCGCCACGCAGCCCACCCTCCGCTCAACCTCAAAACCACAAAGGGTTAAATATAATCAATCTTCTTTAACAATGCTGTCAGGAGAGTGTCTGAGATTGCTGACAGATACAAACTGTTGTACGTGCACTATTGTTAGCTCAGGCCACAGCCAGTGTGAGTGATATCTCTTCACGTAAAAAAATATATAAACATAAGCATGGTATGTGGTACACACTTGTTTTTCCAGAGAGTCAACGTGGTGAATGCTGACCAACTATAGGTCCTAGATCATTAGCCTGTCTGTCCGGAGGAGCGGATCCCTTTCTCAAATGGGTCTCCCTCCCTGTGGGTTTCCCTAGTTCTCCCCAAGGTTTCTCACTGTTTCCTACTGGGTTTTTTAAGAGTTTTTCCTTGTCGATGGACAGTTAGTGTCCAACAGAAAGGATTGGTGATGATCAGGACACTTTGTATACAACATGTATGGACATTTTCTTCTGTGTGTGCTTTATATTTTTCATGTGTTTTAACTGTTGATTCTCTGACCTGTGTTGCTGATTTCAATGGTTTTGTTAAGTCCTCTGAGATTACTTCTGTTGTGACCTAGGGCTATACAAGAATAAATTGTATTGTATTGTGTATTGTAACTATAGAGAGGACAGCATCAGTATCGTTAACGGCACAGGCCACAATCTCAAAGCAATTTTACTCATGATTTAAACTAAATAACCTCTAATGAGAAAGTTTTAGGCTAGCGAGATTTAATTCCTTGTTTGCTAAATCTATACTATACTGTAAGCTGTAAGCAAAGGTGAATGTGTGTGTGTGTTATACCTGTGGCGACTTGTGAGACCTCCAGCTGTACTGGTGGCTGTGGAGGCTTCCCAGTAGCACGTTCTCGTCCGTGTCCACCTGACCAAAGCGCAGCATCTCGTGGGTATCGTTACAGATAACATAGTGGCTGTAGACAAGCTCCTCGCATTGAGGGTCACCATTCTGAAAAAGATACAAAAGGATAAGCACAAGTTTTGATTATGTACACTGGGATTACATATTTTTTACCCCTACTTCTATATACACACTATATTTCAGCCACCAATACACAGCTATGGACATTTCAATACATTTTTAACAATAACTTTCTTTTATCCAACATTGTATTCACTATGAAACTAGCTTTAATTGTCCTGTCTCTTAGAAATAAACAATACAAGTATAACATACAAGTCCAACCAAAGGCACAAGTCAGTAGTCCCAGATGTATCGCATCCAAGAAAATAAAGAAGAATAAAAAAAAAAGACTTGAAACATCTGTTGTTCTAAATAGTATGTACTAGCGGAGTCCAAGAGTACACAAGAAAAATAAGGCAAAATAAAACACATACTGTATCAATTCACATATAATTGTCGAATTATGAAACAATATTTATGACATTAGTGGAGATTGTGTTGATTGTTATTAAACACCATCAATGCCAAATTTGGATTAGCAGCGGTAATGCTATACTGTATTTCAAAGAAAAGGTCAGTCCAGTTGGCACAGGGAAGACATTTTTCACACCAGACCACAGTAGTTTATATTGAGCCAATTTGTGTAAGAAAACCATGGCTTATTCATTGATTGAGTCGTCTGTTGACTACAAAGTTTGTTATTCTTAGTCAAGTATTGAGATGACTAATTTTACATGGGTTGGGTTGGCACACCCTTTACACACTAGTCAAACACTCAGTATACCACTCTCCTAAAATTGGGAGTCACTGAGGCACTGTAAACATAAGTACTAAATGGTTGGGGGCAACACAGATCCAAAATGCGTTATTGTATAACTTCTACTCTACTTTAAGCTACACATTGTAAAGCGAGAGTACAATCAAGCATGTAAATAATTATAGCATATATGGCAACTTTAAGATTATACAGCTGTGTCAGGCACCGGCAAACCCCAGACGGCTCTATACTTCTAAATGGCAGGGATTGGTTGATGGTTGATGGTTAAAAGAAGCTGGCAGTAACAGCTCTGGGTTCCACTGCCAAGCACGTTCGGGGTCCTGGGGTTGTTGACGCTATTGAAAACGGATGGGAAAGTTTACACCATTAAAAGCACACTTGATGATAGACGTGCAGGAGAGGTAAAACAGTGCACAAATGGACAGCTGTGAGTAAGCACCACTTCTAGTTTTATAGCCGAACACTATCTTTGCTTTCCCTATGAATGTGACACTACAATTTAAAAACTTCCTGCTGCCATCTTTAGATGCCAATGCAAAGCCCGACGACTCTTTGATGGTATCGTCTTTCCACTTGAATTCACAAGGCAATTTGATACACAGCTTCCCTCAGTAATAATCACTCCTTTTCCATCGAGGGACTTAAAGACAAATATTAGGACACAGGCATTTAAACAGTCGACACATCTTCCTTGTTAAAGAGCAAGAGATGACAGCTTGTTCTTTAGACATACAGGCCCTATACCAAGTATCACAGTATCTATTTCCTAAATCCACCCAGATGATGTTACATCATTTTTTACAAAGTCTGGCCCAGATTAGGCAGAGTGGCACATATATAAATGGTAAGGTACAGTAAAAAGTCTGGGATGTAGATTGTAAATTATAGCACCCACAATATAAGAAATACTATATCACAGAGGAAGAGAAGTCAAGCCACTGTAAGACCAATGCTGAGATATAGACAGCATCAAAACACAATGATTAGCCTTAATAACAACAGGATATCCTGCAATGGAGAGAGATATTTCTTGCAGATCTGCAGCCCTGAGACTTCAAAACATGACCAACAATTAGCATTCCTTTCATTGATCAGCTATCTGGACAATGTAAACGTCACTTTAGAATCCACCATGGAATATTTTAATTTAGCTTCGAGAAAATGAAAAAGAGCATCCCCGTTGGCCCATACTCACGCTGCCTGTGAGAACGTGGAGCGGGTAAATACTACTGGTCTTTCGTGTGGTTTCCCAACAAAGCCACTTCCCCGGGGTTAAGGGCTCGGGGGAAAGACGAATCGAAACTGGGATTGGGGACTTGCGATGGAGATGGAGGTATGGGTGAATGAGGTTACAGTGGTAAAGGATGAGGTTGGGGCCAGATGGGGCGATGCACTGGAAAAATGTCAGCCAAAAAGAGGGATGGTTCAAGGGAAAACCCACAGGGAAATGTGAATGTAATGTTCTATGCAACAACTAATCTGACTTCTTTTGCAACTATAATGTAATGTAAAGTATAATGATGAGTAATACAAGTATAGGTGTAAATATTAGTTTAGTAAGAATGTTTACAGAGAGAGCAATTTTAGGGTTAGTTTTCAAGCATCATGAAGCCAATTTGCTCTTATGAGACTTATACATTAAGTAAAACTCTAACCATTTTAAACCATATTTTGTCGTAAAAAGTTCACCATAAACGGTTATATTTCTTAATTTTAAATATTGCTATGTTTAGTGCAATGTCTCACCCGCATGCAAGAGCATTGAGTTGCATGTAGTGCATTTCTGTTTCTTTATGGTCAATATAATGCGGCACTTATGGAGTCACAACAAAAAGCTGAATATGGCCTATAACTATAGCATGTGGATACTGCTTAGGGTTTCCCCAAAGGAGCAGCGCGAGCCAACTGTTTGTGAATGCGGGTGTGCCCACCTGCCCTGCAGTGCTACGCAGCCTCATGTACAGCTGCATGTGGAGGAAAACTGAATCCAAGAACAGCATCATTATGTTTGATTAATCCACCACAAAGTTCAGTGCAAAACCTTCAAAGTATGTGGACTCAATGGCGTCTGCGCTTCAACTGAGATGTTTGATGTCTGAAATAAAGCGTAATAAAAAAAATTATTCTCTTCAACATTTCGACTTGACCTGGGAAGATAGGAGGTTGATAAAATAATGCTAAGACAAGTATAATATTAATAAGGCTTTCATGAATGCAGGAAGCGAAATGACAGCTACATTACTGCAATCCATTAGAGCTGCACCATTTGTCTTATTGGTTGATTTTTCACAGATACTGTTACCATGACATCTGTGTGTATTAGAACGTACTCCAACCTCTATTTGAGTGCAAATTACAACCATATACTAAATGGGGCATTTTATTTCTATTTCTGCATCTGGAATCGCTCCAGCTTCTCTGCCTGCGGCACGGAGTGGCCATGGCCCAATTGTGAGGTTTCGATTGTGCGGTAAACTAAGAATCTTCTGTATGGTTCACTGTTGACCCTATAGGCCACATCACAACCGGCTTGCCTGCCAGCCTTGACACCAGGAAACACGAAAATCATTCAAACAATTACACAAATTCACGAAACATCCTTCTGTTGCGGAAGGACAGTGCCTGCAAACATTTCCATCTCATGATGTATGTATTCAATTAGTTTTGCAATGTATGGAAAGAGCAGATGTATGAACGCAAGGAAAGCTTTTAGATATAATTAAGCCTGTCATAGCTTACATACACTTCGGACACAATACAAAATGCGTAAATGTAAAGAAACGGATCAAAACAAAGCCAGCATACATTTTCTTACCATATAAAGGATATTTACCAACTAATATCTGTATCCTCTTAAAGTTAATTAAGAATCATTATTTTCAATCAGAGCATTCTTTTGAAGTTTGTCCTCCGAAACTGTGGCCACATGTAGAGCATTTTTCTTGACTCTGAACATGGTGATTTCTTTTATAGTTGGCATGCTACTTCTGTTTAAGACTAAATCCAAATAAATCAGGCTTAACCATTTTACAGACATGATAGAATGAAGAATAAATATGATGATGCTATGATCAGTATTGTATCCTCTGCATGCAAGTGGTTTTCAAAGCACATTTTGTACAAATATGCTTGATTACCTCATGTCAAAAGTATGCCTGGGTCTTAGGACCTGGACAGCAATGGCATAGGAAAAGGCCAAACATATCACTCAATCAGTATAGATGAGGCCTGTCTTAAGGCAATGGCTACGTAATAACCTTATTTTTCATGCTTGAGATGTTGGGCAAAGCCATGGATACCAGCATATCCAAAACAGTCCAGTTAAGCTGCAATGTAACCTTTCAATACAACAGCAAGCATTATTTATGGGTAAATTAATCAGCTGAAATAGGGAACATTCACTTTCTTGTGTTGAAATTTTGCAGCCAAGGGTCAATTGCATCCCACCAAACTAGCACGGTTACACACCATGAGTCAATGATGCCATTGGGTGAAAACAATAGTATTACATCTCAAACTAGGATTTAAGAGGATATACATATAGTTTGTTTGATTTGATTTCAAAGAGGTAAAACGCTGCAGCTGTTGATAGATGAAGACAATCTGCCACTATTAGTTCTCTCACCTGGCAAGGAAAATGTGCATGGGTGTAAAAAAATGTATGGAGTACGCTCATGTCTCCTGAGGCCAGTAGATGAGTCAGCAGCAGCAACAGCAGAGGCACAGCTGAAGGAGAAGGGTGCACAAGGGAAACACACACACATACACACGCACAGACGCACCCATGCACACAGAGGGGTGGGGGCCCAGGCCAGATGAAGTCTTGGCAGGTGTCAGCACTCAAGTTTTACCGTGTTTTCGTGGGCATCGCTTCACACACAAATGAGCTGGCTACTAGAGGCAGTGCTGAGAGCTGGGAACTGAGAGCTGACGAGGACCATAGCATTAAAGAGAGGCCACAAACAGACACAGTATAGGCCCCTACTTTGAGTTTACATCAACCCGAAAGGCAGTGTATTTTATGGCTCTGGCATCGAACCAAACTTTCTCTCATAAAAAACCCTCCATTTTGTTGTGAATTTGTTTAGCTGATACCCCATCTGGGAAAGAAAAGACTTTTAGCACAACCTATAACTATTTATATATTTTCTTATGATTTTGTGTAGATTTACGACTCCTTTGGTTGTAATACATTTTCCGTGTGTTCGATGATCAACAGGAGGACAGTTAATTTTTAAGCAGTCTTAGTTTTAATAGAGCTACAACCACTATTCCATTATACAAGTCAGTAATGTAATCATGTGACTAACAAGTACAAACAACAAAATTAATGTATTTTCATTAAGTGTCTGTTCGTTAAAAGAGTAAATATTTGATGTAACTGTACCTGTTGCCAACTTTTCCAAGCGGCATCCAGCGTGTGAATGGCATATTGGCTGACCCTGATAAAGACTGGGTCCACGAACACATTTGCATCCAACATGGTCGCTTGGGGACAGCACATGGCAGTGGCTTGACCCTGAAACAAAAAGGAAAATATGTATACATACAGTATCTGAGTAAAACAGATACACTGACTAATAATATGTGTTTAGATGCATGCACATCACAGTGTCAGGTTTACATAAAAAGACAACGGTGAGCCCAATTTGGCAATTTAGGGCTGTGTCGAGGCCTCTTGAAGCACTGGTGTCCGACAGCAGAGTTTTAAAAGTAATTGCCACGTTATTGACTCTGCGATCTGAACGCAACATTATAAAAAAAAAAAATTTTTTACCTGCAGCACACAAGGCTGAAGTATCTGAAGAAGTGTTAGATTGCGGTACTCCAACAGTTTGCATTCTACTTGAGTGGAAAAGTTGAACTCTTGACAGTTGCGTGGACCATTGTTCCACTGACGCAAAAGAACCTGAGGCTTGCGTGCACTGGTCACCATGAATTCCTGCTCCAGAGGCAACTTCTTATCTGGTACGAAGGGGCGGAGTCTACGTGGGGAAACTGAAGTGGGGAGATTTAAATTAATACAAATTAAAGCCTATTGGGACAAAATATGCAAGCATAATGTGAGCTTTATACCTGTGCCCAGTTGTTCTAGGTGATGGCAGAGGTGCACTTCCATTTGAGAGAGTTGCAGAGACACTCCGAGAGATGGGACAAACCAAGGAGCAAAGCAGGAGTCCACACGAGTGCAGGCAGCCAGGGCAATGGGGGAGACCAGCTGATCACAGTGCAACACCGACCCACAATCGCTGTCCAAACTGCAATGAAAGAATTAAGGAAATCCAATATATTTTATATTCAAATGCGGAGGTTACATTTAAACATAAAATTACAAAAAAGAAATTGATGAAATCCCTTGAAGCCCCCCTCGAGGCCTCCTTAGTAGGTTTTTGCATTATTAACTCCCAACCATTCCCTAAGAACCTCTTGATCGACATTAATTGTATGTCATGGTTGATGATGTTGAATGGAAGGTAATTGAAGTGAATGACCATTTGCTCTGTAATTTGCTGCTACCATGATCCACCATAAAACTCCAGCAGGAAACGCTCAGAACCTGCAAACGCTGGTGCAGCACTGCGGCCCTTAAAAAGATAAGCATCATATGTTGACAATTTTCATTACTTCTAGTTGGCAGGAGAGCAGATTTTTTCTGGTGGAAATTTAAGTATGGGAGATGAAACAAGTCAGTAAGGAAAGGTCAATCATGTCTGATCAAAAAAGACAAATAATTTAAACATAAAGGAAATGCTGTGCTTGGAGAATGATTGTAATGGAATGCAGATGTATATTTCGCTTCACACAGTGGTCCTGACATATTTTCTTCCTCTAATGTTTTTACATGCTTTCTCATCTGAGGTCTTCTTCACCTCACAGAGTGGGAATTGGCAATATACATCCTCTAAATGTTTTTGAGAGCCCAGGAGGAGATCAAAATAGAGTAAGAACATTAATTTATGCAATCCAGAGTTCCTCTCACACCTTAATTTTAATGTGTGTTTTTTTTACTCCAAATGACGGACACACCTGAAAATGAACTTCTAAGAATTCAAAGAAACTGCAAATTAGTACAATAATATATTGTAAAATATCATTGTACATAATTAATAAATCCTGCACATGTATGATATCTGGGCTATTTTGAGAAAAGCTGAGGAGCAGCAAAGGGAGCATTTTAATAGTACTTATTTTTTATAAAAATGGTAATACTAAATTTGGTTGCATTTACAACGTATTGCTTATTTTGAATTGTTAGCATGGGAGGTGATGGTTGACAGAGGTGGTCATTACGTGAGAGGAGAGTATGTAGGCTAAAACCCATCCCAGACCAGACCAAGCCAGGCTAGGCCTAGGAACGTATGAGGCAACCCAAAGGGGGTTTTACTCATGGAGCTTCCCTCGATTAGATACACTCAAGGTAAGCAGGAAGGAATCCGGATGGGCCCTGACAGGCACTTGGTGTGCTGGGAAATCTCATTAGGCCGATCTGAACGCCTTCCAAGCCCGCTCCCAGCTCCTGCGCTCCAGATGTGGGGCGAGGGACAGCACTGGCTCTTTCTATGGAGCCTGGGTGCACGCTCTGTTTTCCTTCACACTGGGCACTACTGTTACAGCTCCATACACACTTTCCAGAGCATAATAACGTATTAAAGTTGATACACATTCATATAAAGACAGCACAAGATTTTCTGACCTCTGCTCATCTCCTCCCTGTTCTGTGTTGTTGACAACAATCCGCCAAAGGTCTGAGGCGACCAACTCCTTCTGCTGCTCCGTCAGGCTCAGGCTGGGCAGTTGCACCTGGCAGGGACTGCTCTCCGATAGGCTGAACTCCCGATAAGGCACAAAGGTCTGCTGCAACTCATCCCAGTACTCCAAGCTGCATGGCAACTGAAACACACAGGAATGAGGCTGTTATACAAGACATGCACTTAGGGACATTTTTCAACAAAATGTCAATCTTCTTTGTTTTACTTTGAACTACAAATCTTTAAACTTCAAAACCTTCTTTGTTCTTCACAAAAGCCTCTTTAAGACGAACTGGATAAGCTACTATAATATCCCAAGTGATCAATGTGAGTTTCCAAATAACACTCACTCATAGTACTGTAACTCTTTAGATGCCGTTCCCAGAGTGACGCACAAAAAATAGACATGGTTGTCTGCAAGACATCAGATGTTTCATAACAATGACCACTTAGATGAGCGGGAATTAGTGGCTTTGAAAATAAATGATGAGGTGATTTTTATAGTGTCTGCATGGCAACCTAGACTTATACAGTATGTGTGTTTGAGACAAGCCAATCTTTTTCAACTACTTCCAAAAATAATGTCACACAGTTGCGTCAAAACGCCTACAATAGATTTTGCACCATTAGAATGTCCTTCACAAAAATTCAAAATACATGACCTTCAGGTTCAAATACAAATAGGATGACATACACATACTGTATGTGCAATATCGTCAAGATAAAGATAATAAGTGATCTAGAATCAATATTTGAATAAGTAAAGTATTTGCACATCATGTGCTGCTGTTTTTTGACTGCAGAGTTAAGGATGCACGATGGATCGAAATTAGTGGAGCTCAGAGCTGCACACCAGAACCTTAATGCTCACCTCAGGCAGGGACTCTATCTGGGAAAATATATCCTCACAGACCATGTGGGTCAACCACCTCTTTAAAATATTCAGTCCTCCGAAGAGAATTATCAACAGGAGAGGAGTTGTCGTCACCTCGCTCTTTGTGAATTGGTAAAAGGACTGGGTGCAGTAAAAATATGGGAGTGTTTTTTCATTTGTTGTACGGTGAGGGAGCAGTGGGTGAGGTAAGCATATCTTACATCATGTTCTAAATGCCACACAGGTTTTCCTGGAATCAATTTCTTCTAATTGTACCTGACAGAGTTGTGCACCCGCAGCCCCAGCACTAAGCCACTGGAGCGGAAACTCACTGGGCTCCACTGACAGTTCCCAGAGCAGAGCTGCTAACACAGAGGCCGTCTTTTTTCACCTGCGATACTCTATCCACATGACGGCATTACAAATGAGTATGTAAGGAACCTATGTGTGCAGTTTAAGACATTTGCATGACTGCATGTGCGTCATCCTTGCATCTTCTCGACAAGAGTTTGGCCTTGGAGAAGAGAGGAGATGAAATGATAAAACCTGAAGAAAATGGAAATTTTTAGCTGGCACTCATCTATATGAGAAACAGACACCTGTGTATGCCATATGGCTATAGTATGAAAGAGATACCGTCTATATAAATGTATACACAGGTGTACATAAGCTTGTGTATAGCACAATCCAACTCACAGTATCCGCCGCCTGATTATGTGTACCTTATCTGATAAACAACCTGTAACCCTGAATAGCTGAAATTCCCTCAGCTGGAAGGCCCCAATCTCAGCTCCTATGTAACAATGCTGAGCAAATGCTTAGGCAAATTCCCTGCCTAAAAATGTTAGGAAGCAATGTATTTCCAGTGGGAAGCTGATGTTAATTGCTAATAACAACAACAAGAAAACAACAGCTGTGGCAGTGGTGGCTGTGGCTAAAGGTTGGGCTGGTTCAACTGGGGACATAAAGTTTTAGGGATATCAGAAGCAGCAGACATGGCAGGCGACTTGAAAGGGTGTCCCAAAGTGGCACACATACTGATTTGGAACAGAAGGGGAGCAGATGGTGTGATATTGCTCTTAAGATCAAGGAAAAGGCTTTGGATAAAATGGGAGTTATCAAAATGTAATAATAATGTCAACTGTTTGAAGAGAGGATCAAATTAGAGCATTTTGTAACTCCTTAGTCTGTTACAGAAGGCAAAGTTGTTGTGTTGCTTAATAAGGCTAAATAAATTTCACTTTCCGAGCCAGTAAAGCAATATTCAGATTCCAAGAAGTAGAACGCAATACAGCTGGTAAATAGTTGCTGTATAGTTTCTGTAGGGATAGTTCACAATAGTTGGATAAATCCAACTACTGTGTCAAACACATTGAAAAAGTCTTTTGCACAACACTTTCTATGCCATTCAAAAAGTATACGGAATACTCTAATGGTGGTAATGTAAAGGTACGTCTCAATCAATTTGAAAATAAAAACAGGATGGTATTAAGCTTAAAGTCCATAGAAATAACTTTCAAATACATTGTTGGGGAAAAGAAAGAGATGAAAAATACAACGCACCCTTTCGTTTCTGAGCCAGTCATGGAAAAATATGCACCTATCCTGTTTCGCTATAATCTCAAGCGAAATTAAAGTTGTTACAGAGAATTGGAACATAGCACATCTCATCTTTCTCCCCTGAGCTGAGGTCAAGTTAAAGCATAGCTCCTGTGTTTACTCCTGGTTTCTCCGGCTGCAGAACCCCACAGCGGCAAAGCAGGGGAAGACAAATGAGAAAAGATGGAAAAAGCCTTTGGACACCTGCTTATGATTCAGAAACCTGGACCACACGGCGCTGGGAAGGTGGGAATGACTCACCTCTTCTACTCTACATAACTGCTTTCATCACAGAGGCCCTCTACAGGTGGGAACCCGTTAACGCTTCATTTCAAATGTCCATGTTATTCTCTCCAATCCTGTACCCAATGCAAAAACACAGCAGCCTCCAATTTGATTTTGAGTAATGAAACAAGGGTTGAATTCCCCTTCAGAGATACTGGAACCTGTTTGGAAAACCACAAATATTTAAATGCAGGAAATCTTGATTTTATAAAATGTTAATACGATCTGCCTCTGGGACAAGAGTAACCGGCATGAGAGCAAGAGCCCCCTGTCCGACCCCACCTATTCATGTGTACGGCAGGGTGGAGACTGTGACAAAATTAGACTGAAATTTAGATGGGTGAAACATTGGAAGAAGTGGTTGCTCTTGTTTTGGTAGCTCTGACATCAGCCCATTCAAGTGCCAACATGTATGCCGTAAAACAGAATTATCGGTTTGTAGATTAACTCTCTATTTTGAGTCTCGCTAGACATCAGTAGTCAGCAGTCTTTTCTCAGATTTTTTTTAACAAATCATTAGAACCTACTTCCTCCTCTCAGTCACCAACCCATTGTGTCCAACAATATAGACATGGTTTACCTGAAATGTTATATACTGTATGGTAATGTAGCCATCTACCGTTTTACAGCAACTTGCTCAGGGACTACAGGTGTAAATTGCTGCTACAACCTGGTACAATGCATCTCTTCTCTTGGCTAATGTTTATTGTACACTGTCCCTGTAAAATTAAAAACCATACCATACCTAAATTTGAAGATCAGAATCTGCCTGGTCTACTGTCACCCAACTAGGTGTCATATATTATTTTAAAGCCTAAAACTGCTAGAATTCAGTATCTCATGAAAATGTTGTGGAAATTCTGCACATAAAGAGAGTAAAATAATGTAAACAACTCAGAGCTGTAATTACAAACAAAGTGTGAGTTTATTCATTAGTAAATGTGCACAATTACAATGAATAACAGAACCGATACCAATACCACCGGGCAGCCGTCTGAAATCGACTGCCACGATTGAGGAAATAACTGTACATTAAATAGACCAGAGTAAACACATATCTACTCTAGATATTACATAAATGAAGTCAACACTGATATGTGTTGCTCAAGGCTTCTCTTTACGCGTCCTAACGCTGATACAACTCGGATATATGTAGATAACAATCTGCTTTTGAACTGAACATATTGTTCTATGACTCAGGTCAAAGACATGATGCAGCACGTCTCCATCTATCACTGACCTGCTGCCAACAGAGCATTATGGCCTGTATCTGAATCCAGAGTTGACTATTAGTTAATAACTTACACTCATAACTATTTGGTGTTAATTCAGATTGCTTTACTAAAATATTTCTATAACAAAAACATTAGCAATCATCTTTCCATATCTATTTTACACACATTGGCTTTTAAGTGCTTGGCAAAAGAAACGGTTAGCCGTTAGCTTTGAATATTGTTCTTTGTTTCTTTTCAAAGATGAAAAGCCAAATATGAATAAGGTAGGAAGAAATTCTGATACATTTGTATATAATTTCCTACAAAGAGCAGGGCACAAAAAAGAACACCAAACCGAATGGGACAGAGAACTCAAGTCCACTATGTCAGACCACCACAAGAGGAAGAACCTCCTTATGGCATGAAACAATTCAAATGTCACAGGCAGAGAGCAACACGTACCAAAGTAGAAGGGAGATCCAGAAATGCTCTCACCACAGTGTAAATGTATCTGTCCTGCTGTTGACTTAATGCACACTAAAACTGTATCATTGTAATGACAGAGGACAGTGACAGGACATGGGGAGGCCTGCACATTTGTCATTGCTTTTTCTTTCCCCGTGCCTCTCACTTTCTATTTCTCAAAATCTATCAGCCTCCATCTATGTGTAGCCGCATGGTAATGTTAGAGCCCTGAGAAATTATGACTGCTCTCTTTCTTTCACTCGACATGTAAAGTAAATGAAATTCCTTTGGAACACAAGCAAAGCCATTCTAATAGGCCAGCATTTCCGATCTCTGTAGCTAGGATTTCTCTTTGGTCTGGGGAGAAATAAAAATGAATTAAGGAAGACGTACATGTTTTGAAAAAGAGAAATGCAGAGTTAAATGTTTGCCAGAAACTGAAATCCTTTATTTCTCAGAACAAAAAAACAAAAAACATTGACATAGTGCCACCTTCAGTCCACTGTGTATGGGCAATGGGCTCAGTATCTTCAGCAAGAGGTAAGCATGAATAAACATTTTATTTAAAAAGTACATTATGTGAAATCTTGTATCTGATTTTAAGGCCAACACTTAATAATCAAATTTGGCCTTTTCTGATCAAACCAGGGACTCAAAACCGACAATTCTACTACTGTATGTGCGAGCTGTCTTTATATTAGTTTA